GACCAGGATTGCTGAAAAGTGATCTGATCATAACCATCATTAGAGAAACCCAAAAATTGATTTAGAAACATCTGAAGTTGGAATGAACTTGTATCTGCCTTCTATAGCAGTCTGGTAGTTGCAGAACTATAGGACCAAAGGCCAATAGCATTCTTTCCTGTCTCTCAGAATCACGAGAACCTTTAAATGCAGCAAAACAGAGTTAGTACACTTTGAAGTGAAGTAATACAACTTTCCTAAAGAGGCATGATCTATCCCCTGCAGAATCTATCCTGCTGCCTTGTGGGCAACCCTCCAGAAGCCCCCACATTGCAGCCAAATGTTTATCATGACAAGAGAGGATTATGAAATACATGAGTAGCAATTATATAAACGATACTTTTTCCTATATTGATTGCAAAGAAATTGGATCAGATTGAGTTTTTTGTCCAGGCTTTTCACAATTTTTTGTCCCAGACACACATAGTTTTGCAATGCTAACTCTGACACACTATTCAATGGGCAGTGCAGCCCACAGCCTGAAAAAGCTTGCATATCCTGATCATAACAGAAGAGAGGATATAGCCATTTGGCTTGAAAATCTCCAAATCAACCCTTGCGCCCACACACAATAAAACACATGGCAATGATTAGGCTCTCTCTCAGCTGCTTTCTCTAGCAGAAGATAGAGCATTTGGAAACAGTTCCATCAAGGTTTGCTTTCAGAAAGTCTTGTCCTAGAAAAAGCACTCCCATTTTTTTCCACAGGATCTTCCTGCATTTGAAGATCATCTTAGTAGGAGACTAAGCAAAACAACACCACCTAGGTAATAAAATAAAAGAAGAAATGGAAATTGTGTCAGTCATCGTGAGCTAGATGTACCAATGGTATGACTCTGTATCAGACAGCTTTCTATATTTCTCATGTAGATCATACCATTTATTTTTTTTCTTTATTAAGCGAGTATGAATGATTCAGTATAAATTACAATAAGAGTTTTTTAAAGGCTTTCAAACTAGAAAAAAATAATCAGTGATGCCTCTGGGCCAAATGAGGCTCTTGGCTTCTCTCCATGGCCTACTGAGCCTTTGAGAACCCTGGCTGTTATTGTTCACTATTCAGCAGATCAGTGGTGAACAAATAATTAGCTTCAGATTGCCAAGGTCAGGAAATCAGGGCTCTTCAACAGAAATACTGGAAGAAGGAGAAGGCTTGTTACTTTCCTGTTTTCTTCCCAGTGATCTTTATTCCACTGAACCTGTTATGAGAGAGAATATGTGCTATAGCTATCAGCGAAGATCCAAAGCTTACCAAGCAATCATTGTGGTCCTTATATGCAGATAGGTATAATATTTTAATCAATTAACTAACATTCAGAAAGTATATATTTATTTGTGGTTTATATTTGTATCCTCTTTCCTTGCTTTTGGAAGAGTACCACTAATCAAGATGAGTTTAGATTTTTCTACCCTAGATTGCCACTCATTAGTAACGTGTGTAAATTTGTGTTGAAACAGCTGAACATTTTTCACTGTTGTCCATCAGTATATGAAATCATTCCTTTTGGAATGGTTCTTTGACAGCACAAATCACTTCCCAGCTTGTTTTCAAAGATTTGCTATTACTGGAAATTTCTTTGAAATTTGGGCAAAGACCCAAACAGACAAACAAAAAAATATCACCAAAGATCTGTAACCCTTTCATGGAGCATTCTTTTGTGCCCCACTTTAGGGATACATTTCTAATAAATTTTCTTACAGGTACTTATTAATAACTATCTGTGTAGTTATTGGCCATCTATAAATGGAATATATATATTTCTTATGAAAAGTGTTAAATTGACTGAGAGAACTACTTGACAACTTCATGGCTTTCTGACGGTCTTATTACCCCAGAGAGTTGAGTTCATCCAGAAAACAATAAATATAATTCTCAATCCTTCTCACCCATACAACTCACCATGAAAAGAAAAGCTATAAAAGTGCCATATTTTATAGTGTTCAGTGAGCACAGATCTGTTACCATGGAAACAACTTTGACAAAAAGACATATGCATGATCATTTACAAGCAACATTTCAGAAGGGGAGGAAACCTATCCTGGGCTGCTATTCACCTCCCACCTTTTCTGCTAAATGGAGAAAAATGTCCACATCCGTGATATCTTACTGCAGGATGGAGTGATTACAATCTGGTTATGACTTCACAGCATTCAGATTTTCTGATTCTTCATTCTAGAATGTTCCTGCACAGTTAACTTTAGTCCATAATTACAATAAAGATGTCTGAACTTGTACAGTCCTTACTAACCATGATTGTTAGCTGTGTTTTCTCCTCAGCATCACCATCTGGACAAAGCATTCTAAGTCCCATCCCAGTTTAAATAGAATTAAATCCTATGCCTTTTTTAATATGAGACAGCCAACATCATTTACATTTGTCTTTACTATTTTATTTCATTTGTTCAGGCAGACCATAATCCATAACCATGTGATTGCTTAATGAAGACTTAAGCAAAATATGCCATTAGTCACCTTTATCTGAATGGTCTGGAGAATATTATTCAAGGCAATCAGATAATAAACTGTTTAAGAATTGCTGTTGCATTGAATTATTCTGGGGTGATATGGGGCATCTTGCAGCATGGGTAAATAAAGCATTTGACTAATCAAAACTTAGAAAATCAAGTGGGCATGCTCTTCCATATATTTTTGTTAAATTCACAGTGCTCTGAGTAGTTTGCTAGCTATTAATAACAACTGTTTTTACATGCCTTACAAAAGGAGGTAAAAAGTATTTTGAGTGATGAAGCAAAAACTGCATGGGGGAAAGTGTCTAGAAATGATTTATATCATTTCATGCCAAGCATTACTTCTATTTCAGCAGCAAGTCCTGTCGCTGGCTCAGCTATCCAAGGAGTTCATTCCTAATCAGATTCCAGTCAGCAGAATCAAATCTATCCCAAAAAGACAAACCAGCAAACAGGAATTAGGATCCAGTATTCAGGGTCACATGCAGCAAAAGCCAACTTCTAAGATAGCCAGTAAAATTGAAGTTCCAGAAGCATGGTCAAATCTCAGATCAACAGAAGGAAGCAAGCAGGTAGCACCATGGAGAGCTCCAAGATGGGCTGAGAACTAGATATGCTAGACAAACTATGAGTCTTGTCTAGTGCATAGGCTTCTTTAGGTCAAGAGTACACCTTTTTCACATTCAGAGCCACAATCAATCTGAATGCTAACAAATACATTTTTTATTATACAGCTGGGCAGAAAGTAGTCTTTTCAGATTATCCACCAAACTGCTAGGCAGAGAAGTTGGGTACATGGTTTCTCCAAATTTCTCCAGGGGAAGGAGAATCTTCATAATTTCTCAAGAGTCAAACTCCTCCTTGGTAATGACCATAGCACTGCTATTGAAAAAGCCCATAGGAAGATTTCCCTCATTATGTCTTCTCATGGGTCTTAACTAATTGTAGGAAAACAGCCAGGATGCAGACTGCCAAAGAAATGATTATATAGTCAGGAGATCCACACATACCCTTTGGGCACTGAAGTGCAAGAACGCACTTTATCCATGAGAATTACTCCAAGGTATTTTTTTTCCTTTAAAATAATGTTTAAAGAAATTCTCTTTCAACAATCTGAATGAGAATTGGTAGAAGCAAAATACAGTATTTCTCTGCCCAGAATCTCAGGGTAATGTCTAAGAAACTAAAGGCCTCTCTTGCATTGGCAAATGTCAGTGCTTGTAAGACCACCATCAGGAGAACCCTGAACAACAATGTGTGCATGGCAGGGTTGCAAGGAGAAAGCCACTACTCTCCAAAAAGAACATTGCTTCTGCTCTACAGTTTACAAAAGACCACACTGATAAACTAGAAGGCTATTGGAAGAATATTCTGTAGACAGATGAGACCAAAATAGAACTTTTGAGCTTGAATGAAAATCATCATGTTTGGCAAAAGGCAAACACTACATTCCAGCATAAGAACCTTATCCCATCTATGAAACATGGTGGAGGCAGTATCATGGTCTGGGCCTGCTTTGCTACCTCTGGACCAGGATGGCTTGCCATCATGGATGGAACTACATATTCTGAATAGCACCAGCAAATTCTACAGGAAAATGTCAGGGTATCTGTCTGTGAACTGAAGCTCAAGAGAAAGTGGGCCATGCAAGAACCCAAACACACAAGTTCTGTGACCAAAGAATGAAAGTTAATGTTTTGGAATGGCCAAGTCAAAGTCCTGACCTTAATTCTACAGAAATGTTGTGGAAGGACCTGAAGTGGGCAGTTCATGCGAGGAAGCCCACCAACTTCCCTGAGTTGAAGCTGTTTTGTAAGGAGGAAAGGGGCTAAACTTCCTCCAAGCTGATGTGCAGGACTGATCAATAGTTACTGTTGTATTCATCCATTCTTTGAAGACACTGAGGAGTGACTTCTGAAGGGGACCATAACATATCCTGGCATAAGGCAGTATTTCCAAGCCAAAATAATGATGCTGGTTTTTAACTTTATTCTGTGATTCCAAGTTCAGGATATTTGAGAGAGTGCCTTAGTCCGTATCTCCTTTCTCATGTGAGAGGTTAGCAGCTATTTATGTAAAATTAATAGCTATGATCAAGAGAGTCCTTTTTTAAACTTTTTTTTTTTTTTTTAAATTGAATCATTGTCCACATGAAATCTGCCAGAAGCGGGAATTAGATCATTCTGAGCAGACTTAAAAAACCAGATTCATTGCTGACTGTGGAATTTGTCAACTGAAATTTCAGCAGCAACTTGCCAAAGCTGCTGGAAATTCTTTGATTATTATGGATTTCATGATAGTTTTCTGACTGATCATATTGTTGTTCTTCACCTTAAGGGTTTTTCAAGTTAATATTTTCTAAATAAATGCAGTAAAATATTAGATGCAATTTGCAAATCAGTGATACTGATTTAATAGAAGAATCAGGATGTCTTATGGCTCTCTGTGGTATACTATTGCTCATAAAAGTTATGCACTTAAAAGCTCTATAGTACAGCAGAGCACTTGTTATGAGATGAAGACTCTACCATAAATTAGAAAAGCAATCCTTAGTAAGATACCACTGAAGCTTAATGGAGCTCTATAATTTATTTCCAATTGTAGATTGTCTGATCTGATCAATGTTTTAAACTGGTGGTCTGTATTATGCAGTGTTATGTTACTTGCCTTAGCTCAGCTCTTTCTACAATGGTTCTTCCTCCCACCCTTTAATTACATGGAAGACATTGGTCACTCCATTTGGGAATGGGGATGTTTTTAATTCAATGTATCTGAAGGGTACCAGAATAGGATGGACTCCTTTAAGTAAACTAAGACAAGAGGACTGCTTGGACTTTTCAAGGCAGCATGGAAACCAATCCTGGTATCTCCACATTTCTCATTCATATGTTCCTTAACCCCTTATGGAACTTTTGGACCTTTTCCCGAAAATGAAAGCAGTCATTTCCAGTGCTCCCTATCTGAAATTAAATTTTCCTGCTGGCAAATGGAAAAAAGGAAACAAGTCAGCCACAGTGCCAAAAGCATTGAACTCACTTTTAGCCATTGCAGATGGCTCCCAACAAAGTATGAGATCATCTTTTAGTTTTAGTTTATTGTTATTGCATCCCACCCAGCACCCATTCTCAGGAATGAGGAAGGCACTGATTTTTGACTGATGCCTGGTAGACCTAAACAAGGTGCAGGATCATTTGAACAACAGCACTCTCATCCTGGAACTTTTACTGTAGAAATGGCAATTAAAGCAGCAGTGCATGATTTGAGGCCCCAAGGATGCTAGTGGCCCAAAAAGCTTTGGAAATAACTCACACATCATCTTCAAAAGCTGCCCCAAATTGCACTTTTTAATATGAAAAGCAAATGGACTCGGCTAAGAAAGACAAATATTTGCAGTGCCTGCAGCACTCTATCGTTAATATGATGGGTGTTTACAATGGCACTTTCCCAATAAACTTTCAAAATACAAGAGTATAACCTATGTTATTACTAGATACTGGTATTTTTTTCAACCCATGAATAATTTAACCACAAGTATTTAGAACACAGTTACAGTACAAAGTCTTAGTCAATTTTGCATGCATAAACTATTAATAGTTCTGCTCTAAAGGTGTTAGTCCTCTGCCCTGATTTCTTCTCACCAGTTGTAGCTTTCCAGGTGGCAATCACAACTTTGACATTTAAGGTAAGTGTCAGCCTTTTCACAGTTGTTTTCAGTTTGTATGGATTATTCAAGTCTCATTTTAGAGCTGATTAATTACGAGAGAAAGGATGGTGGTATGTCACTTGAACCCGAGAATACCCACACTACACTTGAGGCTTAAACCAAAAGGCTTAAGTATTAGGGGGATCAGTTGAGATCAGGAAAGCTCAGTGAATGGTTTTAAACATTCAGTCTCAATTTGTGTTGTGCTTATGTATAGTCCCGGTTTTGGAATAATATAACCCTATATATAGTTATGGAAAAGTATGTCTTGCTGGTTTCAATGAATTTGCTACTACACAGCCTACTTGAAAAACAATGGAAAACTCTACTTTTTTTCCTCCCTTCAGGATGAATAAAAATGCAGAAATGCTACTACAATTAGCAGAGTGCTCATGTAAACAGTACAGAACAACTATTTGTTCTTGTAGCCCCAAGCTTTGCATAATGAATGCTGCTGATTAATAGGAAAAGAGATGTGGGCATTTCATTGAGATAGAGAACCCTCTAAGAGCATTTTTCTTTTCAACTGCATCTCATGTGGAAGACATGAGTTTAATTTGATGGATATTGTTTTACCTACAAATCAAACTTTGTGCCTCCCTTTGTACCTCAATGGCTCAGAGCCCCTAGATTGGGGCTGTGCAACTTTAGTTGTGACTGTGGGTCACAACTCTGGCCTCTGAGTGACATAACAGGAGCCACACAGCAAAAAGTAGGTGGTCTTTTAAGTGTGCAGAGCCTGGATAAAAACTATCTTTGATTTAATGAAAATGTAAATTAAATACACAACATTATTCCTTCCCATATATTGAATAATTTTCCATTCTGGTGACATTAAAAGATACAGTTTTGTTGCAGATTTTGTAAGGATCTAGGGGCCATATCCAAGGCTTAAGGACTGGATGCTGCACTGGACTCTCATATGTAAATCCCTGGTCTACATTATGGTCTGTTTTCTCCCATCACCTTACATGCTTGCCCTGCCTTATCTTCTTCTGTGTAGCTGTGTAAGGGAAGCTGGGATCATATACTTAGCTTTTAAATTGATTAAATATTTCTAATACATCATAAGAAAATAGGAATAGTCCTGCTACATCAGGCCAAAGCCCAATTTATTCCAGTATTCTGTTTCATACAGAGGCCAACTAGATGATTCTCCCAGGCAGGAAAAAGAAACATACCTTTCTCCTGCTGTTGTTCCTCTGCAAGTATATTTGGAGACATGCAATGTCCCCAGTTCAGAAGTAATGATGAGACTTGTGCTTAACTGCCTATGATAGAGGTGTCCTCTGTTAAATTTCATACCCAACCTAGAAAATAAATTACAGGTTTCCAGAACACTTAATCTTTAGGCCAATTTTTCAGCTTGACGAGAGAAGACTCCTGCATACAACTGGGTAGATTAGAATCTGGATTGTATAAAGTCTCACACCCAACAGTTGATTGTCACTGCAGTGCAAAGATGTCAGAGAGAGGCAACTAGACATGTTTATATGTATGTATTCTCTGGAGTTAAACTCTAGGCTTCTTCTTCCAAACTTCCAAATTAATGGATACCTGGTTGTCAATTGATGGCTTTGGATGGTTGAAATATGTGTATATAACAGCCATCCCTTGCCTAGGAACCACTGGATCCTGCCTTGCCAGCCTCAGCCCTCACATCCTCCATCTTCCCTTCCAATCTTCTTTTAAAACCATCCAAGTTAGTATCCATCTGTTAGGTTAATGATCTGCTGTTTGAAGAAGTAGATTTCTTCCATCTGTTCTAAACCTCCTTCTAATAAGTTTCACTCGATGATTCCTGGTCCTAATATTTTGAAAGAGAAAGAAAAATGCCCTACTTTCTTCATGTCATGTGTTATTTTGCACATGTTAATCATGTCCTCATTCAGTCTCTATTTCCAAGCTCAGGTGTCCCAAACTTTCTCAGCCTTTTGTTATAAAAAAGATGTTTGTGTCCTCTAATTGTTTTGGCTGCTCTCCTGTGCAATTTTTCCAGTTTGATGTTGTTTTATAAATGTGGTGACCAGTATGTCCAGATGCAGACATACCATAGATTTCAGTAAGAGGAAAACAATGTGAGCAGTTTTATTTTCAGTCCTTTCCTAATGATCTAAAGGATGAAATTTGCCTTTTTCAGTACGGACATACATTTAGTCAACAACTTCATTAACTGAAATAGTATATATGTAAAGCTTGGGAGGGGGTTGTGTAATGTGCATCACTTTACATTTACATCAATCAAACTCAGTTTGCCATTTGATTGACAATGTTTAAAGAGATCCTTCTGGAGCTTGTATAGTTTAGTATTATCCATGATCCACAAACTTAACCAGCTCACTACTTACCCATCAGTCAGGATAACTTATGAACAAGTTAAAAAGCACTAGTCCCAACATAGAATGTCTCAGTTGAAAGAGTCCATTTCTTACTAACTTCCCTAGAGAAAATTGCCCATTTATTCTATTTACTTTAACCAGATAGCAATCCACAAAGGGATAGGAACTCTATTCAGGAGCCTTTGATGAGAAACTTCATCCAAGAATACAGGATCAATCACCTCTATCCATGTAGCTATCAGCATTCTAAAAATACACTGGAAAGCTTGATGAGGTAACATTCATCTTTGCAAAAACTATGCCAATCATTCTACAAGGCTTACTCCTCAATATCCTTAGTTATTTTTCTTTTGATTAGCGCTTCCACCAAGTTACCAAAACATATGTTAACTTGACTGGCTGATAATTTTCTGGATCTCTCCCATGCTCCTTTTTAAAAATAGATTTCATTGGCTACTTCCAGTCCCCCAACACTGAGCCCAATTTGAGGAACAATTACATGTTTTTGCTATGAGGTCAGCAATTTCTCCTCTTTAGGAACTCAGGTGGGTTCAGGTGAAACTGGAGTTATGGTTTTAAAAACTTTCCAGATATTATGGAGAAATTTGGCATTCAAGCTCATTACCTCAAACCAGACAGGATGAACTGTGGTTTGTGATTGTGACTTGTTAACAATTATAGTTTCAACTAATCAAGTTTTCTTTCAAGTTCAGATGTAATGTGGAATCCCAAGCCATTCAAAAGTGAAAGTGATGTGCCCAGCCTCACAGCCATACTAAGGAAGGAGAAAATGCAAGTCCAAGGCTTACTGTTGCTCAGGTATATATTGAGAAAGTATGACTTGTCATTACATATGAAGTGGACCTTTGATTTTTAACCATATCTAGCTGAGTTTTCTAAGTCATATCACGTAACTATCACTCTGATAAGAGTAGGCAATGTTTTTAAAATAGCTTATGAAAGCACTTCTTATGTAGGTTACTTTGTTGAAATTCATCTGCATTTGAATACACATGCTGCATAGCGTCATGGTATGTACACAGAGACACACAGGACCTGCCTATAAATCACAGGTCTTCTGATATAATGCTTCATGGATTAGTTTGACTCCTCAGCTAGACTTGGCAGATGATGTACAGACACAGCTCAATTAGATTAATATCTTTATTTTTAGACAAGAATGAAGCCATACACGATTACCCACTGCCAGTGAGAAGATAGCCTTGGAGTTTAAACTTTTTATTCTGCCTTTCTGAATTAGCTGCTCTTTGGCACAGTGCTTGATGGCCTTGAAGCCAAGTGGTTGTTACATGTTTATGTAAAAGCCATCTTTGACTGGGAAATGCTGGTTCCCACTTCAACCTTCATATACAGTGGAAACGAGGTACAGTATCTCTGCTTGACTATAATGAGCAATAAACCAGAAATGAAAAAGAAGAGGCAAACATTTTTTCAAAAAAATACAATAAAATTGTTAGCATTTCAGAAATTAGATTTCTGTTGAACTTCAAATATGTTTAATGAGCAGTTTGATTTCAGCTGATATTGTTACTAAATTTCTAAAATCACCTTGTTCAAACTGGTACCCTCCAGTTATGTTGAACTGAGTCAGTGTAGTGCACATGGAATTGAAACATTATTCAACAACTGATTATGGAATTCTTGCAAAAGTTAGTAGTAATTGCTCAGTAGTCTCTATAAAGTTTTTTTCCTTCTGAGTTTTCATTTGCTAATATTTTAAAAATTCAGGTTACATGTGAGAACTGCCTAAGTAAAGGATAAATTGCACGTCATTTCATTCCCATCAACAGAGTTTTAAAAAGAACTCCTAATCGCAATGCAGATTTTGCAATATTGTTACTTACCAATTTCAAAGATTTAAAAGACACCTGCCATTTTAATGAGGTGTTTGTAAAATTACAATAATTTTCACATGCAACATTCCTTTGAGATTTTATTTATTAGTTCTGCTTGGTTGTTCTGACATTGCCATACTTCTGGAGTCCTGATTTACTTGCACAGTTTCAAACCATATTTCTCCTGTGAGGGCATTTCAGTCCACGAAGCCTTTCAAAGCAGAGAGAATTCTTTCCTTTGGGGTGGGGGGAAGAAGGGGGAGGTATGTGTTATGCACAACACCAGCCTTAATGGGTATGATTCATGATTGAACCTCCTAGGCTCAACTGTAATAAATAGAGCCAACTTTGTCGTATTTCATGTTTTTTCTTGTTGTTGTTAGCTGGCATTCTGCTACCCTGTTCCTCAAACCTTTCTAAGCTAGGGAGCAGGGTGTTGTGAGACATGGATTCCCATAACAGCCATATAAATAAAATGTGTGTGTGTGTGTGTGTGTTTAAGGTCCTATAGACTACTTGGTGACTAGCTTCATAAAGCCACTGTTTCTGTTTCAACAAAAGGCAGAAGGCTGACATTCAGGCTAGGAAAGAAAACAACCCCCCCCCCCAACACACACCCAATTGTGAGTGGACTGCAAGTCTTGAGAACAACAAGGATTGTAGGAACAAGTTTCCTTATGAAGTCTGGGGCTCAGGCCCTCTGACTCAAACTCTGGAACAACTGAAACCAGTGGCAGGGAAAGTATAGGCAGGAAGAAGTATCACTTTTTGCTTCTCCACCTATTTTCCTCTCTGCTTGCTAGGTTTTGTATGTAAATCTACACTTCCTGTTAGTTTAGCTTATTCCCCAAGTATTCGCTTGATTGCCTTTATTAAAATAAAAATCCTTTCTCCTCTGTTACTCTAGGTTTGGATCTGTACAAAAATCACCACTCCAAAGCTGCTTGGACATGATAAGCAAGATGAAAAGGAGAAATTGGAGCCATGGGTTTAAAAGTTTAGTTCTGGGGAAAGGAGGAAATGCTGGTTTTGCTCTTTCAAATTCAGGAAAAATATGGAAATCTCCCCACTCAAGAACAGGTGCTGGTGGTTTAAATACTTTAATAACTCTTTCAGAAACCCTGGAAGTTATGCAGAGGGAGTGGGAGGGTGGGATCCCTGAAAGGATCTGTGTTTGGGTGAGACACCCTGCAATCTGTGCATATGCTGCTATGTAATCAGCATCCTTCTATCAAATGGTACATGCTTTACCTCTGATACTTAACATGCTGTACACTATTCCTGGCTCAGAAACAGGCTGCTTTTCATACAACATCCCTCTTTGAATCTACTGCATTTATACAAAAGAAAAGAGTTTTATGTATTCCCAAGAAGTTGGTTACAAATGAAGCATAAGGTTTCCATCCACACCTCTCCCTCATATAGTCTGAAAGATGATTGTGTGCAAAGCAGTGCAGCTTGCCATTCTGACCTTTGGTGAAAATTTAGAGTTTACAAAACCTAAAGCAGCCTCAGTAATAATTCTGTGGCTCATGCATTGTGTGAGCACACTGATTTGGCCTTTAAAATTATCTCCAAATCATTTCTGCTCTTCCACCCATTTCTGTTCTTTTATGCCTTTCCTCTGTAAGTCTCCACTATTTAAAAAAAAGAAAGAAATATGGCAGTTCTTATTTTTCTTTGCTTAGGACTTGCTTTTAGCATTCTTTTGTGTCTCTCAACTTAATACTGCCTAGCAACCTCAGAAAGTTCCTCAATAACCTGAAAGGTGGATTTTCCAGGAAAACCTTGCTCTGCATTGTATAAAATATAACTTGTCTTTAGAGAGAGAAATCTATAAAAAGATGTGTAATTTGGCTGGTATGGTTCAGTAAGTGCTTAACAAAGCAGGAATTGCATCCAAATGTTACCTGGAAGAAAAAAAAAATCATGCTGACATTAAGGCTGATTCACACAAAAATATTCTTCAAGACAGTTAAATAACCATCCTATTATCTATTTAAAGAATTTTGAGCAAATCTTCCACATTCTAAATCCAGATTAAGATTTCCTTATATATAGGATTTTCTAGAATGTGGTAACCTGTAATCTGGAATAGCTTCAGAACATCTGTAAAAAGGCCAAATAATTTCAGTAACAAATGTTGACCTCTGTACTTCTAAAACAGCCTTCCCTAACCTGATGCCCAGCAGATATGCCACAACTTCCCCAAGCAGCATCCAGATGACATCTGATTCAGAATAATTTTCTAAACAGTGCAAGGACAGCAGTGATAGTTCAACCCATAAAACCATTTAGCCCAGTATTCCCATTTATACCAGTACCCTATTTCCACAAGCTGAGAAGGCGATAACCCTTCCAACGTTCGTCTCCCAGTAACTGATGTTCAGAGGCACCTGTTACTGAATAGAGTTCTATTTAGTTACCATAGCTAATAATGTTCACATCACAGAGCAACACCTATTTGACCCAAACTAATCTCAAAAAAAGCTAAATATAGTATCCTTAGCTGGGAGACTGCTGGGAGATCCCAGGGCTCTTAGCTGACTGAGGAGGTTAAGAAAAAATCCTAGAGGAGGGTACAGTAACGATAAACCAGTTCTGTATTGTTGCCAGGAAAACAGCATGGATGACCCTAAGTAGTCACCAGGAGTCAATCCTGACTTAAGCAAGATCTTACTTTATCTGATAGTGGTTGGTAAACCTACTCTACAGGCAACTGTTAAGTGACTTCTCAAGTTGCCTAAATCAACAAGGGATAACATTCTGGAGCAATACATTTCCTAAGCAATGTACTGTGTAATAAATTCCTTATTTGTCTGAATGAACTGAATGTTGAGTGATTTCACTAGTAACCTCAGATTTTAATATTAAGTAGGTTTTTTTCATTGCTCTAAAATAATGCATAATTTTTCTCATAAGGAAGATACTGTAACTCTCACAACTCATTCTGTATTCTCTATTTTTATTTATTCATTTGCTTCAATATTTACTCTACTTACTTATATTGGCAATTTTTTTCTGCCCATTTTCCATGGATTTTTAAAAAGTTTTTCAGTTTGTTTGAAAACTGAAGCAATTTCACTGAAGAATCAAGCATCATCCAAAAATTGGATGCCATCATCTTGCCTTGTCGATTTTTTGCAAAGTGAACATCTACCTGCATTAAAACAAATCTAATTAAAATCAGAAAATTGGCATCCATTTTCATCCATAATTTGTATCTTTCATGCAAATAGTATTACTTAATATTTGTAAAAAAAATATTGGTTACAAATGAAATCAAGATGTAAATCCGAAAGTCAAGGAAATGTAAATGAAATCAGATATTAGCTGCTAGAACTTAAATTTGCCACAAACTTAAACTGTATTATAGTTCAAGCCTTGAGTAATTTACAAGAAAAGTTATGCTAGCACATTCTTTGTATTTATTTTAGTAAACCTCATACCTATAACTAATACTGTCATAACTTTACTAACATATTACAGCTTTTACTTTTCATCTCCTTTGCAGAACTCAGTTAACAAGCTATCCATGGCCTTTCTAGAGAGATAACGTCAAGCTATATCAAACACATATTAACTGCAACTTTACATACTCCTATGAAATATCACTTCCTCCTTGTAGGTAAGGTCTAAGATGGATTATTTGGAAGTATTTCCCACTTATATTAGCTTTGGGTAGACTCAGCTGCCACTCTGCACTAGTTGCCACTTTTTCTTGCTTGTGATTCCTAAACCTATGGAATGATCACAGATTATGTTTTTTGGAGATTCCCAGGCCTGTTGATCTATCTCTGAAGACTGACTGGCATTTTTCCTTTATTGCTTTTTGTCCCATCTGTAAATGAGCTTTTTTTCATGTTCCATTTTGTGCATGCCTGTTTTTGTCCCATATTTTATCTGCTTCTACCATTTTCTATTTGCCTTTCTTCCATTCAACCAGAATTGTGCCAACACTAATTGTCTGTAGGTCTTTAATTTTTGACTATCTGTAATAAAGGAACAGAAGTATTTATCAGTATAGCTTTAATGAAACTTGTAATCTGTATTGCATCTGTGTGCTTCATTAGGTGTAGTGAAAACCAGCAAATGTAAATAGCATACCTTAAGGCTGGCCTCTAGCCAAAAACTACAGCTAAGGGACAGTTAGTAGGAAACACTGCTTGAATTACTTCCTAGTGTTACAGTTCAAACTGTTCTAGAAAAATTTCCAAATATATTTCACAAATCACACTTGAGGAAGTGAGCATTTGCTCAAAAAAGCTTTTTGTCAAATATATATTCTAATCTTTAAGGTGACATAGGGCTCTGAGGGTTTTTCTTTTTTTTTTTGTCAGTAAAAGGTCTATTTGTTGTTAAGCTTTTCATCATCTTTGAGGTTTATTAACATTTAATTCTCTATGGAGGAATTTTACAAAAAGAAAAGCAGGGAAGCCTGTTACTAACAGGGACTGGAGGCAGTTTTGAATAATTTTTCATGTTTTCAAGGGCTAGGGGAGCTTTGGTTCTGCTGCAGCCATGAAATCTTTTCACCTCATGCCATCTGCAAATCACATTACCCCATTTCATTCTTGCAAACTACAGAGGAAGGCTTTCATCATGCCTAATAATCTTCAATTTTTTAAAAAAATCTCCCAATTCTATGGACACCTGTTACTTTGCATAGTCCTCATAAATGTGTCCTTTATTTATCTATTTAATTAATGGCATTTATATACTGCCCCAATTAATTCAGATTCTGGATGGTGTGCAGACAAAATAAAGCTTCCCAACCCACATGAAAACATCAAATTCTAAACTCAATGATTGCACACAGTTCCTCATTTTGTTGAAAATAGTTTTGAGGATTTCCGAAATGTGAGAAGGGGATAAATCAAATGTATCTGTGGAGGTAGTATATTCCATAGAGTGGATCTATTCAGGAAAATGCCTGCCTTCTGGTCTACACCTTTCTTATTATCCATTTAAAACATTCTAAAAACTAAAATGAAACAGGAATAAGGCCTAAGTTATCCACTACACAGATTATAAAGTCACTGACAGAAGTAAACTAAAGTGGCATATTTATGGCCATTTCCCTCCTGGTGCCTTACAGTATTTTCTAGCATCACCCAGCTAACACTGTGAAAATATAAGACTTTTTTATTACTTATATCAGTACAATGTTTGGATTACTCTAAAAAATGCTGTAAGTCACTAGTGGGAACCCTAACCTATTCATTCTTTAAATGAGGAAGAAGTTCATTTAAACAAGCTAGTTCTTGTTAATTTAGAACGTGGACTAGCTATGGGAGCTGATCAGAACAATCATTATACAACACTGGAAGATGTTTATACCTGATCTGCAGCAAAGAGTCATTAATATGTGCTGTTTGTCAGCATTTTAAATTTGAATTAGGTGTTTTGTTTAAGATTTTTTGGTAAATTTGGTAAATGTTTTGGAGTTGTTCTGTTTACTATATTTCTTCAAGCTCTTTTTCCTTTTTATATTATTTCTGTGCTACATATTTATACCATTTGTGTATGTGTGTGTGTATTTAATTAATTTGGTATCAAAACAAAGTATATAAAAATTGATCACAAACAGCCTCTATGAACCACAAAGGAAAAATAATGTTGAACTGGTGAAAATCAGTACAACTCTACAATAAACAGAGTGATTGAAGAACTGATACCTCTTGAAATTTGGTTTCTGAGTACACAACAATGAAGCAACAATCCTGAACAAAAACCCATTTCAAAATAACTCTTTGTATGGAAAGGCCCCAAATGAGCATAAACTAGAAATCAGCATATTGAAGGCTTCCATAGAAGTATTTCTTTTGAGAAAATGTGATCTCGCTTGCAGAACAAACTTGTGGGAGATTATGAACTGCCCCAGAAGTTATCAATAGATCCAACTGCTTTCTAAATCTACATTTCAGAGTACATTTAGCTCAAGCAAGTTATGAATCCATGTTCTTGGAGATTTTGCAAGAAAACAAGGCAAAACAATGTGTTTTCTAAAAGAGAAATAATATTCAACTTCAAAAAAACATAGTTAACTTGCATGCAACCTGAAGCTGTAAATATTTAGTTAGAAGTAACTGTTGCTAAATTATGTAGTGTTTATTTACAAATATAATTAAGATTATACCCTTACATCTGAGTCCTAAAAACATTTCTACTGAAATCTCATAAAGTTAAATGAAATCTTAAACAAACATAGCATCCAGCTGCTTGTCTTTAGACAAAAAGATGGTAAAAAACAACGCCATTCCACTGAAAAATCAAATTTGGCCCCAGTAAAATACAAGATTTAATTTCCTTACACTGTACTCTAAATCTATTCCAGTTTATTTGCTGAATTTGGATGCCTTATGCCACTTAACACTTCTGATGAAGGAATACATATAGTTTTCACAGTAGACATTGAATATTATAACTTGATTAATTAGAAATATATAACTCTCTCTAAATCAATACATATTTTTATTAATATCTATGGCCAAAGCCCAGCTGAACTGACAAAATTTCTCTTTCAGTTTTTCCTGTTAAGATTCCTAATTCAACCATAATAATAATTTTGTAGCTTATTACACTTAACTAATGACCCCAAATGCACTTGCAGTTCCTAAATGCATTTTTAAAAAATGCACTTGTCAAATTAAAAAAGGTTAATGTGAACATTATGATGCAAATCATAAGATAAACAAATATATTTCCACAGTTTTATTCTCTCCATAATTTTCTCTAGTTTGACTGAGAAGCAATTAGGGATGGGATTCTTATTCTGAACAATTTCAGAATAATGTGCAGGAAAACATTAAATATATAAGGCCTATAAATTATTTAAAGCATACAAATGATTATTGCTGTATTTAAGTTATTGCTATAACTTAAATTACACAATGTATGATTATTTTTCAATTTATCCAATTTGAACCCTAATTTTCCAAATTAAATTTAGAATTAGCATTCTGAATTAACATAGAACCTTACTGAATGAACATTTAGTTGGCAATTGTCTCAAAGAGGTTTTTAATAAATTGGGGGCAAGGGGTTAGACTAAATACATTTATTATAAATTACACACATTTGCCACCATGGGCCATTCACTGGTTCTGCATACAATGTACTACTCATCCACCAGATGACAACCTGCTATCATTCTTGTTACTATCTTGCTATAACAAGGGAGATGAAACAAGAGGCCATGCCAGAAGTTAAGACAGCCTTATCCATGTGGTGTCCCCCAGATAGGCTGCAACTGCAGAATTCCTGTCCATCACTAGGTGCTTTACCAATCATTTCAACATTTGGCTTATTCCCCTGAATGAGGGAACAAATCAGAAGACTAAAAGAATGACTACCCATCCTTCTACAGGGAGTTTTTATATTGAATGCTCGTACCTATACCTGATTCGTACTTGCAAAACCACTTTGATAGAAAAATACCAAGCAAAGTCTAAACACTTCAGCAAAGAAAATTTCTGTATTAACGACTGAACAGATTTACAGGAGTAATCACACAGTATCTCTAATAAGAACCAACCCCTCCCCCCACACACACTATAAAAGAGTGCCTGAAATTCAGATCCTCCAAGAATAATATTATATTGTGTTAGCAAATTTAAATACTGCCAAAAAGTTTCCTTTTAGTAAATTTACATTTGCAAAGACAAATTGTATTCTTATACAAATAACTTACAACTACTGCAAAGTGCACTGGACTTGTGTGTGCGTTTGCTACTAAAATATTGACTTAAAAGAGGTTTTTTTAAAATATATAAAGCAAATACACAGGTTTTGGTCATTTTATCAGATATGAATTTGAGCACATGATAAATATACCTATAAACTCTCTTAGCATACTAAACTAGAAGCAGGTATGTGTTGCTTTTCAAAAGATTTACTGGCAAGAAATCAATCCAGTTTGAAGATTTCTACCTAACTCCAGTCTTCTATATCCAACACCAAGAAGATGGCTTTAACGTAATAATCTACAAAATAGATTCTTTTTAACATTACAAAAAATAATCAGCTTATAGCAAGATTCCCAATCCAGAGCCCCACAACGATACAACCCGGGCGACATCGGACCAGAGGCTGCGGGAGGCAGATGGTCATTTAGCTGCAGCTGTTCCAGATGTCGTCGAGGTGGGGGCGCTCCTCCGCTGCTCCATGCCGTTGGGCAAGTAGCCGGCGATGATGGGCACCGGCCAGATGAGGGCGGCCACGCTCCACACGATGATGACCAGAGTCATGAAACAGGCCACCAGGGTGGACTCGATGGGCTTGCGGTTCATCCTCCATCCGGGATCCCCCTTGAGGTCCTCCAGGCTGAAATCCAGGCAGCAGAAGTGGAGGCGCTCCCCTTGCTGCCAAGGCTGTCCGTGCTCCGGGGTGGGCAAGGAGTAGAGGGCAGCCGAAGGAGGAGACGACGCGGCTGGGTTGGAGGCGCCCGGGCGAAGGCGGCCAACGCGCCTGCCCCGCGCCCAGCTGCAGCCCACGCACAGGCGGAGGTCCTGCTGGACGCCGCCA